GTATATAACACTAATTTATATGTTATAAGAAATGTCGTTATTTAAATATATTATGAAAAAATCTAAACGAAGTCTTTAGATTTTAAAAGCATAACAAAATATTTGTAGAAAATATGAAAATTTAATCACTTCGATCATTTCGCGAATTGTATGCTAAACTGGTAACAAAATATTAAATTTAATATTATTTTTTAATTATATAATTGTATCCCTCCTATTTAGGATCATTTTCTTTTCTAAATGCTTTTTAACCCTTTTTCTATATCATTCCACATACTTCATGGGATTTAATAGGATACAATTTATTTTTTATTCCATGTAAATTGTGATATTTTTATGGGATGCACATGAATGGCCTATCCCACTTAATTTTATTCCAAAAATAGTCAATCCAGTTGCAATCTATATTTTAATTGAGTGAAGGAGTATCGAAATCGACGGATCATAAGTATATTTGAAGTCCAAAATACGTGGATTGGTTAAATATAGTTTATAACGAAATATTATAAATAGAGCGAGGGTGGTTCATGAGATTATTCACACATTTTATAACTTTGCAAGTTCATCACAAACATGTCTCCACTCTCCATTAAGACCATTGTTTTTATTTTGATTCATCAATAAAGTTGAATTTGTTGATTCAAGTCCTTGTAATATAGTTTTCAATGACTTCTCATCGCTCATAAAAAATAATTTAGGCATAAAACGTTATTATATGATAACTTTAGTTTTTCGAAGATACACGAGTATTATTTAAAGAAATAGTATATGTTTTGAGTGGATCGTTTGAAAATTTTCAAATGTGCATGTTGATAGTATTTTTTTTAACCTCTAATTATTATTTTTGTCTTTTTAATATAGAGTAGGGGTACAATAGTAAACCACACAGAAGATGTTTCGTTAAATGGGGTTAAATGCGTAGCTCAAAACCATTGGCGTCGGTGACGGTGAACTGAAACAGTGTCTGCCGTTAACATAAAGGCGAATTAATTAACACACGTGTTTTAAATACTCTTTTTCTTTTAAAAAAAATTAAATATTTTTATTTTATTAATTATTATCTGCAAGATTGCAATTAACGAAGAAAAGTAATAAAGAGGTCCCCATTTCTTCCTCGTGACGAACGCACTTTGC